ACCAAACACCTCCATTTATATACATGTTGGTCCTCCAGAGACTGCACACCTCCATCTATATCCATGATGGTCCTCCATACAACACACATCTCTCTCTATATACATAATGGTCCTCCATACACCACACTCCTCTGTCTATATACATGATGGTCCTCCATACACTGCACACCTCTGTCTATGGCCAAAGGTCTTGCATCCTATCCCCGTCCTAACCTTCCAGGGCTGAGAAATCTTCTACATTTACAAATTATACAAGTCACCAAAAACATATATTCAGTGTCAGATGTGATCTTTGTTATGACAATTAAAATGGGATGAGATGGCCTACACCTTTAAACTGTGACCTTTAAAACTTTTAGACTGTGAGCCAGGCCTTCTCGTCTGACATTAGTGCCTGACCTCACAAATCCGCTTATGGTCAAACATTCCCATAGACACACTCCTAAACCTTGTGGACAGCCTTCCCAGAAGAGTTGAAGCTGTTATAATGGCGAAGGGTGTGCCAACTCTGTATTGAACCCTACAAACTAAGACTGGGATGCCACTAAAGTTCATGTGTGTAAAGGCAGGTGTCCTTATACTTTTGTTGCTTTACCAGACTAACTGAAGCTGCCTTCAGTTGTTGTTTGTGGGTCTTTCTGCATTTAGTTTTGCCTTAAGCAAGTGAAATACATGCTCAATTGGGTTGAGATCAGGTGATTGATTTGGCCATTGCGTGATATTCCACTTCTTTTCCTTCAAAAGCTCTTGGGTTGCTTTTGCAGTATGTTTTGGATCATTGTCCATCTGTACTGTGAAGGGCCGTCCAATCAACTTTGCTCTATTTGGCTGAATCTGGGCTGACAGTATATCTCTAAACATTGCAGAATTTATCCGGCTGCTTCTGTGTTCTGTCACATCATCAATAAACACCAATGACCCAGTGCCACTGGAAGCCATGCATGCCCATACAATCACACTGCCTCCACCATCTTTTATAGATGACGTGTGCATTGGATCATCAGCTGTTCCAAGCCTTCTCCACACTTTTTTCTTCCCGTCATTCTGGTACAGATTAATCTTAGTTCCATCCCTCCAAAGAATGCTTTTCCAGAACTGGTCTGGCCTTTTTAGATGTTTTTGGCAAAAGTCTAATCTGGCTTTTCTATTCTTCAGGCTTATGAATGGTTTGCACCTTGTGGTGAACCCTATCTTGTGAAGTTTTCTCTTGATTGTAGACTTTGACAATGATACACCCCACCTCCTGGAGAGTGTCCTTCACTTGTCTGGATGTTGTGAATGGGTTTTTTCTTTACCATAGAGAGGATTCTGCGATCATCCACCACTGCTGTCTTCCATGGACGTCCATGCCTTTTTATGTTGCTGAGCTCACCAGTGCATTCTTCTTTCCTCAGAATATACCAAACTGTTGATTTGGCCACTCCAAATGTTGCTGCTATCTCTCTGATGGATTTGTTTAGTTTTGGAAGCCTTACAATGGCCTGTTTCACTTGCATGGACAGCTCCTTTGAACACATGATGTAGATTCACAGCAAAAGATTCCAAATACACATACCACACGTAGAATCAACTCCAGACCTTTTAACTGCTTAATTGATGAAGAAATAACGGATTAGCCCACACCTTGCCATGAAACAGCTTTTGATACAATTGTCCAATTACCAATTGGCAAAAAGGAGGGATGGCTACTCTTAAGAGCTGTAATTCCCAAACCCTTCCTCCAATTTGGATGCACATATCCTCAAATTAAACCTGAGAGTGTACACTTTCAGCCTATATCCATTATATAACTATAGCTTGGATATGTTTTAGTAAATACCTGAAAAAATCTAAAATTATGCCTGTGTCCAAATATATATGGACCGAACTGTATATATGTATATATATATATATATATATATATATATATAATTTTTTTTTTTCACAGTAGAAAGCAGCACCTTTATCCCTCGGATCAATGTAACAGGAGTATAATCCACTCTCCACCTCCTATATATAAGAATTCAGTGTCAGGCAGTTGCAGCACACTTCTGTTTTTATTTCATGTAGTGATACAAAGTAACAGCAACAGTTTCAAGTATTTCATGCTCTTTGTTGCTGTCACTACTACATGAAATAAAATCAGAAATGTGCTGCAAGTGCCTGACTTAGGATTCTCTTTTACATAGGACAGTTTTGAGGGTACATCTCATTACTAAATAAGTGCTCACAGTTGTGCCACAACGGAGAAAAAGAGCATTTGTACACACAATCATGCAAAACTACAACTGTCGCTTTTTTCACAAAGATTAATGCTAACACATTTTAAACACACAATGTATGTACCAACTGCTGATCTGAGACACAATGGCATATAAAGCCTTGGGTTCTGTGGCAGCCAGACTACATATGTTCTACACCTTTAAAAAAAGACTGTTGCAAGTTTCATCAGACTTCCATGACCTTATATGAAAGAACTACTGAGCCCGAGGCCACAATCTTTTATGTTCATATGTAAGCTGCAGAAATGTCAAGTAACCTGAAGCTTGAGGAAGTCACCCTTGATTAGACCCTCTCATCCTGTCATTCCATTCCTCAAGGTTATTTTCCCACAATTTCAGTGCCCCCTTCACCCATCTTCATCTTAGAATCAGTGGGTTCTGCCTCAGTCCTTCAAGCTCCTACCTACTGCCATTGGCATCCTCATGTGAACCTTTCTAATTCGAGCATTTAAGCCTTTTACTACATAATCTAGAGTGGGTGACTGGGGACAAAGAGAAGGCAAATTTATTAGATACCTTTTTTAGCTCTGTGTATACAAAGGAGCATGGGGGAGCTCTTGTCCATAATGGGCATGGTATTGACACAGCTCCAGATGATCCACATTGGCTCACAACTGATATGATCCAAAAATATTTATACAGAATATAGGTGAATAAAGCACCTGCACCAGATGGCATATACCCACAGGTCCTTAAAGAATTGAGCTCTGCCATTTCAAAGCCATTGTTTCTAATTTTTAGGGACCCTTTAATGACTGGCATAGTACCACTGGATTGGCGTAAAGCCAATGTGGTGCCAATATTTAAAAAAGGGTCAAAATCTTTACCAAGTAATTATAGACCTGTTTGTTTACTTTCTATAGCCGGGAAGATACTGGAGAGTTTAATAAAAGACCACATAGACGAGTTCTTGCTGGAAAAAAATATTTTAAGCAACAGACAGCATGGATTCATGAAGGACGGAAGTTGTCAAACAAATCTGATTTCTTTTTTTGAGGAGGTGAGCAAAACCTTGGACAGAGGGGTGGCGGTGGATGTGGTATACTTGGATTTTTCAAAAGCGTTTGACACAGTTCCCCACACACGGCTAATGTGTAAGGTAAAGTCTACGGGCTTGGAAAAGTCTGTATGTAAATGGATAGAAAACTGGCTAAAAGATCGTATTCAGAGAGTAGTGGTTAATGATTCATACTCTGAATGGTCTAGGGTTGTCAGTGGGGTACCCCAAGGTTCAGTGTTGGGACCCTTACTTTTTAATATATTTATAAACGATATATAGGGTCTGGGATTAAAAATCCCATTTCAGTCTTTGCAGATGACATCAAGTGGTGCAGTGGAATAACGTCCTTACAGGATGTCTCCAATTTACAAGCCGACCTCAATGCACTGTTTAATTGGGCAACTATGTGGCAAATGAGGTTTAATGTTGATAAATGTAAGGTTATGCACTTGGGGGCTAAGAATATGCATGCATTATACATACTAGGGGGAGTACAATTGGGGGAATCAATGGTGGAGAAGGATCTGGGGGTTCTGGTAGATCACAAGCTTAATAATGGCATGCAATGTAAAGATGTGGTTTCTAAAGCGAGCAAAATCCTCTCTTGTTTTAAAAGAGGTATAGACCCCCAGAGAGAGAGAGAGAGATATCATTTTACCCCTGTACAAATCATTAGTAAGATCTCATCTGGAATGTACAGTTCACTTTTGGGCACCAATTCACAAAAAGAAAATTGGGGAACTGGAGAAAGTACAGAGAAGGGCAAGCAAACTGATCAGAGGCATGGAGGAGCTCAGCTATGAGGAAAGATTAGAGGAACTCAATTTATTCTCTCTTGAGAAGAGGAGATTAACATCCCGGTCACATCGGGTGCGACTTAGCATGCGATTTGCATGCTATGCGACTTGCAAATCACATGCCATGTTGCACCCTACTGTCTGCAATTAGAGCAGTCGTATTGGTGCAGTTCCGACTTTGTCGGAGCCACACCGATTTCTAAAGTGGTACATGCACTACTTTTGGTGTGATTTGCATAGACATCTGTGTCAGATGTCTTGCAAATCGCACCTGAAATCGACATCTCACCAAACTTTGAAATCTTGCGACTTCACTGTTAGTTGCACGATTTCAAAGTTGGGCTTGATGTGACCAGGATGTAAGGGGGGATATCATCAACATGTATAAATACATCAGTGGTTCATATAGTGAACTTGGTGTAGAGTTATTCACCCTGAGGTCATCACAGAGGACAAGGAGGCACTCTTTACGTCTGGAGGAAAAGAAATGTAATCTCAAAACACGGAAAGGTTTCTTCACAGTGAAAATGTGGAATAGACTCCCTCAAGAGTTGGTTCTGGCCAGCTCAGTGGTTTGCTTCAAAAAAGGCCTGGATTCTTTCTTGGATACACAGAATATAACTGGATACTAACATTTATAGGTAAAGTTGATCCAGGGAATATCCGGTTGCCTTTCGGGGGATCAGGAAGGAATTTTTTCCCCTGCAGGAGCAAATTGGATCATGCTTTGCTGGTATAGTATAGCGTCCTCAAAAACGCAGCGTTAACGGGATCAGCCCCGGAACCTGCCAGCACCTGCGTTTAGCCCCTACGCTTACCCCCTCCCCCTTCTCCCCCAGCAAGTGCAGTGTCAGTAGGTCTCTGTCACTTGATATATTACACACAAAACTGCAGTGTTCTCAGAATCAGGCCTGATCTCTGTTAGCACTTGCCGGTAAATTTTGATGACTCTCATATGCAGCCTCTTAGATTGTAAGCTCCCAGGATCAGGCCCTCCTAACCCTCTTGTATTGAACTGTATTGTTGCTGTATTGTCTCCCGTTATATTGTAGCGCTGAGCAAACTGTTGGCACTATATATATCCTGTATAATAATAATACCAGCACTGCAGTATGACTTGGTGACATGGTGAGTCCTATAAGTGTAGTACAAGCTGGTGCGGTGGCGAGCACAAGTATTGTCTCGCAGCCATTAAGAATTTGCACACAGGCCCATAGAGCCCCTAATATCCTTCCGGATGTGCTTGCAAATCCCGATTGGCAGTCCACAAATTTTGCAGCACTTTTACATCCCCCGTTCACTGCCCAACCTGGAATTCAGGTGGAAATAGAAAATTTAACTACTCCCCCTTGATTTTTGGAGCTGTTTTTCACGGAATATCTGTATGCGTTGCTTGTGGATAAAAGCAATTTATATGCACAACAATTTATCGCCGCCAACCCAAATTCAAACCTTGCCAGACCATTCGCATGGAAACCCATTACGGTTTCCAAATTTACTTTTTTGGGGGGCCTAACCCTCAACATGGGCATTACTTAAAGAAATGAACTGCGATTGTATTGGTCCACAGACCTGATTCATCATATGCCCGTGTTCTCTGCTGCCATGGCCAGGCATAGATATGGGAGTATAATGTGTTTTATGCATTTCAATGACAACACACTCTGTCATCCTCGGGGTGACCCTGAATTTGACCGGCTCCACAAAATTCAGCCCCTCGCAAATCACCGTAATCAAAAATTTGCAGATGTCTATACTCCCCAGCAAAAAAACTCCGTTGATGAGCCCCTAATTAATTTTTCTGGCCGCCTTGCATTCAAACAATTTCTCCCCTGCAAGCATGCCAGTAATGGGGTCAAGATGTAGAAGACCTGTGAGAGGACAACAGGTTATACTTATACGTTTCAGTTTTACGAGGGAATAGATAGTCACGTGGAGCCCCCCAGATGCCCAGACTACATGGGGAGCAGTGGCAAGATAGTTTGGGACTTGGTGTCATCCTTTTTCCATATGGGGTACGTGGACAATTTTTATTCAAGCGTGCCACTATTTAAACATTTGTACAATCTTGGAACTGGTGCTTGTGGCAAAGTGTGACCTAATGTGTGCCCACCATTAGAAGTGGGTGGATGCAGGGCGGTATATTTTAATGGCGGGCATACCACACACTTTTTTTGGGCAGAGATTTCTTCTCTTTTTTTCATTCAGTCCACAGGCTGCATAAAAAAAAACCAAAAGAACGTAGCATATATATATATATATATATATATATATACCCAACAAGGACCAGCGACGTACTGGTATATCACTGGACTTTGAGTGGTTATACCAGGATAATGCCTACAGCTGCAGGCATCATCCTGGTATAATGTTTTTTCAGCTGGCAATCAGCTTTCATGTAAAAGCAATCCTAGTGGCTAATTAAGAATTGCTTTTACAAGCAGCGGGAGACAATACCCCCCTCCCCCGCTGCCTTCCATGGCCTATTCGGGCAGTCCCGAGCCATAGGGGGAACCTGAGAATGCAGCCGGTGTTTCTGACAGCTGACCATAGAGCTGATTGGAGCATTTCATCACTTCAGTTTCGCAGGATATAAACAGCACCATTTGTAAATTGGGAAATCATTTGATCACACCGTTTTTGGTTTGATTAGATAATGTAAGGGCAGAGGAGAGATCTAGAGTCTGACAGACCCCAGATTTCTCAAAAAAGAATATATGACAATGCCCATTGAAGTTATAGGGGATATTTGCATTCCCTGTTATAGCATTAAAAGTGATCAAAAAAAAAAAAGGACAGTGTAAAAAATAATTAACAAAATCAAAATAACGTAAAAAAAAAAAGTACCCTTGCCCCCCGCGCATGCGCGCACCTGCCTTCATGAGCATTGACCCTGTGCCGGTATGTAAACAGCGGCTGCACCATGCATGTGAGGTATCACCACAAACTTCAGATCAAGGGAAGTAATTCTAACACTAGACCTCCTCTGTAAATCTAAAATGGTAGCTTGTAAAGGCTTTTAAACATTGCCTATGGATATTAAAAACGTATGCAGTTTGTCGCCAGTGCACGGGGCATGCGCAGTTTTAAAACATGTCATGTTTGGAATCTATTTACTCGGCATACCATCATTTTTTATATTTTACAAAATAATTGGCCAATATATTGTGTTTTTGTGCATTAAAAGTAAAAAAAGTGTATTTTTAAAAAAAAAAAAAAATGAGTTTGAAAAATCGCTGCACGAGTACTATGTGCCATAAAAAATTGTAGTACCCACCATTTTATTCACTATGGTGTTTGCTTTAAAAAAATATATAATGTTTGGGGTTTAAATTAATTTCCTAGCAAAAAAGACAAGAAAAGAAAAGGCTTGGTCTTCAGGTGGTTAGAAGAGTGAGTGATGTGTGGCATAAACTTGTAATGCTGGGTATAGAATGCCCCACCCCCCAAAACAACCCCTTTTTGGAAAGTAGACACCCCAAACTATTTGCTGAGAGGAATGTTGAATCAATAGAAGAATTTATTTTTTTACCACAAGTTTTTGGAAAATGACAAACAAAAAAATTTTTTTTTTACATATAATTGTCATTAAAATGATTTACTGCTCACACATGCCATGGGTATATGTGGAATTACTGCCCAAAATACATTCTGCTGCTTCTCCTGAGTATGGGGGTATCACATGTGAGACACGTTTTGGCAGTCTAGCCAAGTACAGGACCCCAAAATCCAATAACCATCTTCAGGCTTTTAAAGGGCTTTATTTCCTCATTACACTTCCAGACTACCTATCACAGTTTCGGAGGCCCTGAAATGCCAGGGTAGTACCTAACCCCCCCCCAAATGACCCCTTTTTGGAAAGTAGACACCCCAAGGAATTTGATAAAAAGCACAGTAAGTATTTTGCAGATCTAATTTGTTGCCACAAGTTTTTGGAAAATGAAGAAAAAAAACCCAAAAACATTTTTTCTATTATTTTTTTATATTTCAAAACCTTGTGAGAAAAAATGAGATCTGCAAAATACTCACCATGCCTCTTTTTAAATTCCTTGGGAGGTCTACTTTCCAGAAAGGGGTCATTTGGGAAGGGGGGGGGGGGGGGGTTGGTGCCATCCTGGCATGTTTGGGCCTTCGAAACTGTGATAGGTAATGAGGAAGTGAAATGAGGAAGTTACGCACCTTCAGGCTTTCAAAGTGGTCATTGGATTTCAGGCTCCTGTATGTGGCTAGGCTCCCAAAAAGTCTCACACTTGTGGTATCCTCATACTCGGTAGAAGTAGCAGGATGTATTTTGGGGTGTAATTCCACATATACCCATTGCTTGTGCGAGAAATAAATCATTTAAATGACAACTTTGTGTAAAAAAAAAAAAATGTTTTTGTCATTTTCCAGAAATTTGTGGAAAAAAAAATAAATCTTCCATGGATACAATATGCCTTTCAGAAGATAGCTTAGGGTGTCTACTTTACGAAAAGGGGTCATTTGAGGGTGTTTGTACTATCCTGGCATTTTAGCACCTCATGAAATGTGATGGGCAGCCAGAAAGTAAATGCTGTGTAAATTCCATTATCTATACCATAGTTTGTAGACGCTATAATTTTCACACAAAGCAATAAATGTACACTTACTGGACTTTTTTTAAACCAAAAAAATGTAGCAGAATACATTTTGGCCTAAATTTATGACGAAATTTTAGTTTTTTGGGATATTTTTTATGACCGAAATGAGAAAATATTGTTTTTTTTTTCAAAAAAAAATTTTTTTCTTCAAAAATGTTTTTGTTTATAGCGCCAAAAATAAAAAGTGCACAGGTGATCAAATACCACCAAAAGAAAGCTCAATTTGTGTGAAAAAAAGGACATAAATTTCATTTATGTACCATATTGCATGACCGCGCAATTGTTCTTTAAACTAGCAAAGCGCTGTATAGCAAAAAATGGCGTAAATTGCAGTATCTATACCATAGTTTGTAGATGCTATAACTTTCACACAAAGCAATCAATATATACTTATTGGGATTTTTTTTACCAAAAACATGTAGCAGAATACATTTTGGCCTAAATTTATAAACAACTTATAAACCAACTTATAACCAACTTATAGCTGAAAGTAAAAAAATATTGTTTTTCTTCAAAATTTTTGGTCTTTTTTTGTTTATAGCGTGAAAAATAAAAAGCGCACAGGTGATCAAATACTACTGAAAGAAAGCTCTCTTTGTATGAAAAAAAGGACGTAAATTTCATTTGGGTGCAGCATTGCATGACAGTGCAATTATCAGCTGAATTAGTGCAGCGCCGAGTAGCAAAAAGAGGCCTGGTAAGGAAGGGGGGGTAAATCCTCGGGATGGCAAGTGGTTAAGCTGATCTCTAAAGGTTGAGATCTCTGAAGCAGTTTGTGTTACCAAAATAGCCAGATTCATCCAGGCTCTCTATTTCCCAGAGATGTATGAGAGGAAGTATCTGATTGGTTTCAACATGCAATATGTACAGTTCTTCTTTGGAGACTTTTATTCATTATAAACACTCAGCTTTATTTAAGTGTCTACAGCAGCTTTTCTTAACCTTTTCAACACAGAGAACCCCTTCAAGTAATTTTCTGGCCTCAGGGAACCGCTCTAAAAATGACTATATCTACAATTCATGCTACATTAGTGTGATGGTCAGTGGGAAGAATGCTCCTTACACTTGTGGCCATTGGGAAGAATGACCCCTTACAGATAGCTAAAATGATCAGTGGTGTTAGTGGGAACTTATCTGAGAGACAGAAATTGCTCATTGCTCAAGAAATCCCGATCTAAAGAATGAGCTGAGCTGGATGCTTGCACAGCACAGATCTCTTTACCTTAGGTTAACACCTAAGCGTTTTCCGCAGCGTTTTGCAGAAACGAAATACAGTCCATTTAACATGATTTCCTATGGGACAGGTTCACATCTCTGCATTTTCACCTGGTGCGTTTTTTGGAAAGGGTCAGGGACTTCTTTGAAAGCAAAAAGTTGTGTTTTTTGGTTCTATGGAAACGCTGCAGAAAAGCATGTAGTGCGTTTTTGCTGCATTTTACGTTTTGTGTTTTAAATCTGACTAGCAACAAGAAATAGCAAAATGCAAAATGCATTAAAAAAGTGGCTAAAATGCACATGCAAAAATGTAAAACGCACTGCAGAAACAGATCAAATGCAAACTGCATAGGTGTGAACCTAGCCTTACACTCCCACACTGCCTTAGCTAGCAAGCTATCATTATAAAATGTACTAACATTACCAGCTATCATTCTCAGATCCAGGCAAAGCCTGTTTCAAACGTCATTTTACGTGTTC